CACTGGCAACTTTTCAACTGTTAAAGCAAATATTTAATCAGCGAATCACAGGCCAGCAACTCAACTGCAATTAGACATGGTGACATGATCAAGACACCTGCTGAATCTGAGCATCACATTGGGGAAGGAAGGTGATTTAAGTGACTTTGAACACAGCAAAGTTGCTTAAAATATTAAATAAAAGTAAATGAATGAATAAATGTGCACGTATCCACTGTCCCCTCTGTGACGGGTGTCTCCCAAAAAGGATATTTGAAGACCATCCTATGGGAGACCTCCAGAGACTGCCAGTACTCATCCGGGACGAAGCTGGTTTGAACCAGGAGGCAGTTAATCAGTCTGAACACGACACAAAACACGGTCACGCTCAGCACACCTGTGGAGGTCAGACAAATGAGCACATTTGAGCAGCTGCGGTGAACATCTGTTTTATTTCTCTTTGTGATAAATCTCAGAGCCCCACCGATGTTCAGGGGACTCTCCTCCTGCCTGGAGTACAGCTGGGATTTACGTCTCCTCAGCTTCACGTCCTCCACTTTGCTCCCAAACTTCAGACGTGAGCGCAGATTCTCCATCTTCACATAAACCTCTTGCGGGCATAGCTCACCTCACCTGTCCCCGGATGTGTTGCAGCAGGTAAGTTCGCTCCTCACACAATCAAAAAGTTAACATATACGATCAGTTTTAAAAGTGAAGAAAAACTGAGCTCCAGGCCTACCGACAGGGACGAGCGAGCTTCGGGTTTATTTAACAAGCATATTAGACTGTTACATCTCCAAAAAGTCTTCATAAATGTCAGTTAACTTCAGTTAGCTAAATGAACTATGGAGCGCTTCCGCAATCATGTCTACTTCCGGTGAAATGTTCTCCCCCGCCTTCAAAATAAAAGCTCCTTAATCTATTTTGTCATCCTGCTGTTTTAAGGTTGCATATATTATCCATTCACAGATGCTCAACTGGATTTAGATTAGGAGAATTTGGAGGCGAAGTCAACACCACACACTCATTGTTTTGCTTTGTGGCAGACTTCAGCCATTAGGGAATGCAGTTTCCATGGAAGGGTGTACATGGTCTGCAACAATACTTATGTAGGTGGTACATGTGGGTTTTCCAGCAAAACATTGTCTAAAGCATCATGCTGCCACCACCAACTTGCCTTCTCCCCATAGTGCATCCTGATGCTTGGTTTTCACCAGATAAAACATGGACACACCTGCCCATCCACGTGATGTAAAATAAAACATGATTCATTTAAACAGGTGATTGCCCCATGGTCCAGTTTGTTGTTGGTGCTTTTGGTGGTAGACGGGAATCAGACTGGGGAATCAGATTGATCTGTAATGCACAGGGGTGTTCTGACACCTCTGTCAGAGAGCCTTGGTTGCCCATGCCTCTGTCACTAGTTCACTACTGTTCCTTCCCTGGACTACTTTCAGATACTGACCACCAGAGATGTGCAGCAATGTGTTACAAGTACAATTAATGCAATTACATTTTTTTTCAAGTAACGAGTAAAGTAAGGGATTACTATTGCAAAAAACTAATTAGATTACTCTTACCTTCCCATGAGCATGCTGTGTTACTGCATTACTAAACCATTTTGTTTGTGAGTGTGACAATGACATACGAATGTGCGACGTCCATGGTAACAACAGAAGTGTGTAGATCAACAGTCGATAATATAGAGTGTGGGAGACAGTATGACAATACTGCATTTAAAGCTTGGAAGTACTAACATTACTTTGAGTTTGATTCTGTAAAAAGTGACAAAAACATTAGCGTCCACTGTACACTCTGTGTGGGAAGAAAATGTGTTTCTACAGTGTAAAAATTAAACTTGAGCAAGCACCTAGCAAACCGACATGGCAATGTGAAATTCACAGACAAGGCCCCGGATCCCCCCGCTGACATGACTGCTGTGGCACCGGACAAAGGTCAGACGGCTCCACTCCTGCTAGAGAGATGAAAATAGATTTAAAAGCGACAGGACTTAATGCAGCAGAATCTTTGATTGTATTTATTTTGCTGTGTTTTACTTGCATCTATTTGAAAGAGTGAGTATAACCACAAGAAATAATTTTATTTTATATGCCAGAATATCCATCCATCCATCCATCTTCATCCGCTTTGTCCGGGGCGCTGCCCCCGCGACCATTGCTCTTCGACCCCAGAATATGCAGGCATATATAAGTCGAAGAGCAATGCATATAATTAAATTTTTGTTTGAATCAATATTTATAAAGTTAAAATATTAAAACTTACCAAGCAACATTGAAAAAAAGAATTTTTCAATTGATTCAAAATTATATGATGGATTATGCCAAAAATAGAATTGGGCTTAAAGGTCTATTATTATTATTATTATTATTATTATTATTATTATTATTATTATTATGATGTCATATCTTACATTGTGTCATATTTTTGAGAAAAATATTCCTTTGAAACTCAAGCCCTGACAGGAAGTTAAAAAAAAAAACCCAACAACTTCACCTGCTCATGTGTCCCATAATATTAGCTTAGGTATTATGTCAAAATATGTTTGCTTTTTCGGTGGGATTTTTTTCTTTTTTTTTCTTTTTTTCTTTTTTTTTCTTTTTTTGTGTGTGTGTGTGTGTGTGTGTGTGTGTGTGTGTGAGCAAGTAACTCTACGCTCCTGTAGGTGGTGCAGTGCAGTTTTCTTCTCAGCGTAGAAGAAGAATGTCATCCTGCTGTAACTGACTGTCCTGCTTGTTCTTTCTTCTGTTTTTTATCTCCTCGGGTTTTTATCTTTGTGCGTCTGCTCCGCAGTTACAAATACATCGATCAAAAGGCTTCCTCGGTGAGCTATGAAAGTTACAAATAATTTTTAAATAAATTTTTTTTACATTTCAAATGTTCCCAGCTAGAAGGTGAACACACTGTGAAGCTAGCGATCGGCCTCTTCTATTATCCGATATGGATTTTTCAAAATAATAGTATACATATAGTTAGTTTTCCAGAGGAAAAAAAAAGCACTGAGCGGTGGTGCAAACGAATTTGCTAAGACCTAAAAAGACTTTTCACTTTCCTCACATTTTTGTGCCTTTGTGGTAAAGAGATGAGTGATTTCACTACTGTTTTCACATGTTTCAAAGCTGTGTGCTGGACTGACTTGAGCATTTAAAGTGTCTTATAACTCTTTTGTTGTTCTTTTAGGTTCACTATTGGGAAATCCTAATTTTTTAAAAGAATAATAAATCATGTTTCGAAGAAGACTGCCTTTCACACAGTTAGCCTTTGCCACGATGCTTGGAGTTGCCGGTGGAATTTACATCTACAGACCTTATTTCGAGACTGTGCCAAAGACATCCGGAGAGCAGATCCAGGACAAGCCAAAGAAAGAGAATGAACTGGACTGAACGAGTTCGAGAAGGCAGGAGGCTGCTGGACTGGAGGCCAAACAAAAAGACAAGATCACCATGGATTAAGTCATACTGATTCCTGCTGTTTGTGATTATAAATTTACAGAATAAATATTTAATAATTTCATGTTCTCATATCTGTTTCAGAATGACTTCTAACAAAATTAGTTACTCATCAGTTTCTTAAAAAGAAAAGTCTTTTCCTTACACTCTAACAGTTGTCTGTAGGAGGTATCTCTCATATGAGTAAATGCTGTTACCCATGAGACTGTGAGCCCATAAAGCTTAGACATAACTTAAATTGATCAAACATTACTAAAAGCACTGTAACAGCCCTCTAGTTGTCCTTAGTTGCCCTTGCTGAGTGTTATAAAGTGCCACATTCACGTGTAGACATCTGCAAAGAGAAAATGAGGTTTGTGGTTCTCAGAAGCCTGAAAACAGGTCACATTTTGTTCTGCCACATGAAATACATTTGTGTCTCTTCATGGAATAAATGAACTAACAATGCAACTATATAAAAAAAATATATATATATACATTTGTAATTCATTCAATTATCATTAATTATAAGCACTATATAAACAAAACCATGGTTGAAGGGAGACCTCGAGTGGAATAACCTCTGATATCTGATAGGCCCCCACACTGATATCAGTGCAGTGTGCCCAGATCAATTTTTTTGTAAAAAAAAAACAAAACTCAACACAGGTGCCTATTTGAACTACACCAGGTCTGTCAAAGATGCAGTTCTAGACTTTTCCCATTTCCTGTGCTTCTAACAGAAAACCACAAAGAAACACAAAAATATGACTGTTTTTTTTAAACATCTAAACAATTAAGTGATCAGAACTATGTAATTACTTCCCCCAAATGTAATAATATATAGCCTACACAGAGTTTTAAAAAGGTTTTACCATTTTATCAACTAACATGTGCTTCATAGCTTCAGACAAGTGATTTCGTATAGAATTACTCATTCAGCAATCATTTTCAGGGGACCAGCTACATTATGAATACATATTGCCAACATAGAAGTGGTTACAATGTTTTCACCATTTACAGAAATAAAAACTATTCACCCCTAAGAATTGCATCTTTCAGGGATTGAACTCAAGAGTGTCACTGACAGCACTACACTGTTCCAATCCAAAGACTGGGTAGGGTCCTCATCATGCTCTCTTCTGTATACTTTGAGTCATAAGATAGAACCATGACTTAAATGTGTAGTTGAGCTAGGTATTTATATATCTATATCTAACAGTAATCACAGAATTCTTACTTTTGTTTTAAAGAATGTCAGAATTTTAATTTAAAAAAAAGGCAGAATCCTGACATTAATCCCAGAATTCTGACTAAAAATTTAGATCTCAGAATCCTGAGATTATTGTCAGAATTATAATAAAGAAAAGTCAGAATTCGTAATTAATGTCAGAAAAATTATTTTAAAAGATCAGGATTCTCATGTAAAAAGTCTGACTTTCTGTTGGTTTTTTAATATCCTGCATTACATATACTTATGTACCATGCCCCCCTGCCTGTTGTTCGTGGGACCCCTTTGTGCCCGCTACTTTAAAAAATCCTGGAAACGCCCCTGCGCTGAATATCGCGTAATTAAAAAGTGCCTCAAAACGAGCACATGGCGTAGTTACAGTTTGCATTGGCACGGTTATCACTCCGCCGTATGTAGTTATTAGAAAATGTGACGTTTCCTGAGGAGGTATCGTGTGTCAGTTGAAGCAGTGCGGTCTGGTCCGGCTGTGTGTTGTAACTGCCGTTTCCTTCAGCTGACGTTAGCCGTGAGGAGGAGCTGTTTCTCAGCACGACCACACCGACCGAGTTACCACGGCTGCTCACTGCTGATGAGGCTGCTCTCATGTCGACTAAAAGGCCAGCGGCGACGGACAAAGTAAAACTTTCATTTCCCAACTTTCCCTAAAGTCTTCAGGGGCCACTTTTTTAGCCACATTTTTTAAGACGCGACAAAGCGCCCAGCAGCAACGCCCCGCGGCGGGTGAGTATACTCCAGGAAATATAAATCGAAGAAACCAGCCTGTAGCATCTGTCTGCAGTTAGCAAGAAAACTTTTACCTCGCTCGAATATGTTGCTTTGGGACTGCTTGTGTTTGTGTGTGGTTAAAGTAAAGGAGCGCTGGCGTGGGGAAACGTTTTAGCACCTGCTTTATCCTCTCCTCAAATAGCCAGATAGAGCTCGTAGCTTTCTCTACACTTGCTCGATAATTGAGCAGACTGTTGAAACGTGTGAAACTCTGGCTGTCTCCAGCTCTTATCACACTTCTCTGCCATGCTTAGACCAAACTGGTGGCAGCAGTTTGTTTGACAGAGGAAGCTGCCATGCAGTTCTGCCTTCTTCACAGGATCTATGTTAAGGGTTTTTTTTGTTTGTTTTTTTATTTTTTTAAATAAGTGATTATTTCTTGCCTAACAAGTCACGTGATCAGAAGTGACACACACGAGGACCAGCTGATGATTATTAGATTCTATCGGCCTGTTTTCGGTTAATCGATTGGAGCGTGGCAATGGGTTTTGTGCGCCTCTGACTGCCTGCTGCTGATAAGTCCTCACAAGGTATTTTAATGACTAGATCGTTGATGCAGGACCTCCATATCCAGTCAAATACATCACTTGTGTAGGACTCTTTTTCTTTTCTTTTCTTTGTTTTTTTTTTTTTTTTCTTGCCTATTATGCTTGAGGTTTATGGTACTGGCACATCCGGATTTTCCCAAGGAGCTGCCTCCTTCTGTTTTGGACAGCTGCCCAGGGTGGGTCTTCCACTTTAGCTTTGACAAATGATTAAAGCTGCTTTTTGTTTGCATGGATGGCAGCCTGACAGGAATGGCCTCTAAATCCATTCCCATGCATATCAAGGTACAGCCCTGAGATCTTTTAGGGTATATTATACAGCTTTTTTTTTAAAGATTTCTTTCTAGACAGCTCTGGACAAGATGTGAAAAAACAAGACTAAATTAAGGTCAAACAACATGGCAGAGGTATGACATGTGTGATAACAAATGTGATAAGAAAGCTATCAGAAAAGTTTTCAATGTTGTCATTTAAGGACCTTTTTTAAAGAAACAACATAGATTAGTTAAAGCTGCCGCTTAACAATTTTAAAAACCTATAAAAAAGCTTTCCACCATCAGTGCTATGTCTCATCGCAGTTTGTGAAATGGTCTTAACCTCTAATCTGTTTTTGTCTTCCTGGTAACACTTTTCCCACACTTCTTAACATGTCCCCAAATACGAATTTTCCTCTGTCCAGTCTTGCATGTAATGCTGTAATAACAACAACCTCTGCATAGCTTTTTTTATGTTGACTATATGGAAGCCTGTTTATTGATTTTTTTTTTTTTTTTTCAGTGGCATAATTTTTTTGTCATCTATCAGTCAATCTTTTGAGTTGGGCATGGGGTGGGCGACATAAACGATATACGATAGAAACGATATAAATTTGGCCAACGATAGAGATTTTGACTATACCGCTCTACTGTGATAGCGCATGTTGATGATGTCATCAAGCTGCTCCTGTTTTGGTCGAAAGCATCACAGCGGCTAAAACCATTATCATCTGCAAATTATGCCGGGCGACAGTCATAGCAAAGAGATGAAGCACTTTTGAAATATGGGGAAAGCCAGAAACTGCACTTCCTCCACTTCTGTAACATTGATTCATTACTGTTGAATTTTCTCGCAGCTGCCCTATTCCCATGTTGTTGCAGTATATTAATAACTAACCTTGTATTGTGGATGAATAATCACAGTTGTTCTCCTGACTGAAGTTTGCCCCGTGTATAGCATCCTGCTATGCGATTGCATTTGTCCCTAACCACCAGAATCCCTCACGTTAACTTTTATCGAGTGGAAAAAAAGTTAGCTGTGTCGCTAGCAATCACATAGCACAACATTATATACCAGGTAGTCCAACTTCAGTAACCCTGCAAACGCCACTGCTGTTTAGTTTTCTGTCTTCATTTATGTTGGAAGTGATAGAAGAGCTGTACGTTTTAATTAGTTTCAAAAATCTCTCAGTTCATGCGTACATGTTAGTTTCAAAGTCCAGCTGACTGATGAAAAAGTGACATCTCACCTTCATGAGGACAAACAAACTACTTCTTTGGGACTGTTTCACATTTTTCTATTAGACTGTGTTGTCGATGCAGACAATATAATACATGCACAAACGAGAGTAATTTTGAAGCTGGTGACAGATCATCCTAGCTGATAGAAAGGTGGAATATCAGGTTAGATTAGGAATGCAGGTGTACCACAGATAAAGATGTTCAGATGCAGTTGTTTTAAAGCAAAAGCGTGATGTTTTGTTTTTTTTTTTTTTTAGCTTCCATTGGGGTAAATTGGTTAAATCTATTTTTATTTATTTTTTAGTTCACAGCACCATAAAATATACAAAAATAAATATAGCCTAACACTTAATTTAGGTTATAGAATGGGGTCTCAACATTGGTTTGCTGTGCAATTTAAAGTTTACTAGAACTGTAACAATTAGACAACCAAAAATTATTTAAAAACTATTCAGATAATTAAATATGCTTTTTTTTTTTTTCCCTAAATCTCGTTTCTAAGCTTCCAAATTTTGAATATTAAGCACACCATCAACAAAACAAATGTCATAGTAATCCTCCTTCATTTATAAAATGAAGTTGTTAGTAATGACACCATCCATCTATCGGCCCGTCCAGCCAACCCTGGATGGGTCGCCAGACTGCTACATAAAGGGGCAATTTAAGCACCACCCATTATCCTAACCTGCATGTCACCTTTTGCCCTAATAATGAGATAAATGTACTTAAATCCAGCAACAGGCTTAGTTCCCATCTATGGAGGCATTTCATACCGGCTCCATAGTGTAGTGGTTAACACACTTGTGTTACATGTGACAAGTACAGTTACAAGTTCCCTGGTTTGAGGCACAATTCCAGCCTCAGGAGTCACAAGCTTGTAGTGCCAATCCCAGTCTCGGGGATTAAATGGGAGGGTTTGAGGGTGGAGCCATTAGACAAGTATAACATGAATTACAACTTGTATGTCGTGTCTGCACTATGTGTCTTTACTCTTATTTTAGGTTGTGCAGTGGTTAGTACTGTCACCTCACAGCAAGAAGGGTAGTGGTTCTACTGGCTGTCTGAGGCCTTTCTGTGGGGAGGTTACACGTTTACCCCGTACCTGTGTTGGTTTTCCCCAGACAGTATGGCTTCCTCCCACAGTCCAAAGACACACAAGTTATTAAAATGGTTATTGGTGGACCTCTGAGTCTCGGCAGCACTTGGATTCTTACACTGCAAGTAAAGAGTTCAGATCTCCTACATGAAGCCAGCATGTAATACGTTTATTTTAGAGCGGTGTACATCCAGTGAACGAGGAGGACCCTTGGTGTTATTGATTATGAAAGATTTGCATTTTGTAAGGCAGTAACAAGGACATGACTGCTGCTGCTTCTTCTTTTTGATGCTCACAGCTCATGTTTTCTTGCCTAACACAAGAGATCATACTGTGCTATCAGAGCATTCTTTTCACAGCTATACTAGGTTTGTGAAGTGCTGTATGACTGTGCAATTTACCTCAAACTTTACATTTTAGAACAGTGCCACGCATATCATGTAATGCATTTTCTTGATGTATGATGATGTGCCATTTTTTTGTACTTAAATGAAACGCAATAAGAACGTCTCTGATTAGCTGATAATAATCTGCAGAAATGTGCTGACACAATCTTCACTGTGGTTTTGCTCGACTGTGTCACCGTGACCTGTTTTAGCCTAAGCACATTTCGTATATTGGCTCAAGCTTTTCCGTCAATTTAAAAAGAAAAAAACAAACAACATAAACAGGGTAGGTTTTTTCTTTTCTTTTTCTCTTTAGTAACATGTGGTCCTGTTATCTTTAGGTACATAGTTGCCAGTTTGCTATATGGTAGCAGGAAAAACCTTCATTAAAAAAGAATACTAATGCTAATAATGAATAAATTCTTTAGTGTATCTTCGTAGATGAAGTATATTGGCCCATTTTCTGAGCACTAAAAACAGTAACTGGTCTATTTGTAAAACTGGCTGCAAGTCCTACAAGGTTAATCCAGTGCTTTTATTAAAACCATCGATTTAAAACTGAAAGTTTTTTTCCTCTATTACAGAGTACTTTTTGACTTGTCATAAATGAAGAAGCACATTTTTCAGTTTCTTTTCCAGTGAGCCACAATACAAGGACTTTAAACTCCTTTAGATAAACATGATTTTTATTAGTGAACATTTTAACAAATGTAGTAATTAGGTTTAAATTATATAATTACTTTTCCAACATTTTGCTGAGGATGAAACAAAAAAGAAATGCTGTAATAAATTCTACTTTAAAGGCTGTAAAGGCTCTCTTGGAAAGAAGAAGGACAACTACTGTCTAAGCGAAAACCCTTAGTGATCCCTCATGTGTCAGAAGTATCGGAACAGCTAAGACACATTTTTCTCTAAACACCACATCTCTGTGGCTTTCGAACCCAGAAATAAGCGGCACCAAAAATTGCTCCACCCCAAGGATCCGGTCCCCTGGCACAAACAGAGTAATGTAGTGTACGCTGTTAAGTGCCTGGAGGATTGCTCTGATTTATACATCCGGGAAACCAAACGACCTCTGGCTAAGCGGATGGCACAACACAGAAAAGCTAACTTGTCAGGCCAGGACCCCATGGGCTATTTACACCGACAGATCAGTGGACACTCTTTCAATGATGAGGATGTAAACATCCTGGACAGGAATGAACACAGGGGGATGTCAAGAAGGCCATTTACGTGAAAAGAGAAAGATAATCTCTGAATCAAGGAAGGGGCCTAAGGGTATATCTTTCATCATCTGCATCACCAATGCTGTGATTGCAGCCATTCCTCAACTCTGTGAATAGTACACATGGTTACTGATTAATGGTCTTTGATCAGTAGTTGTTGATCAATGTTCATGACAATTTGCATATTAATGATCAAGAAACTGACC